TCAGCTCGCAGCCCTCCCTGGCGATGTGTCTACCGCCATTATTTCGTAGCGAAGCATTTTAACGTCGGCCAGTTGGACCGTGAATGATTATTAATCAATTTTCAGCGTTAAACGTGGCGCCGCAATAAAAAGCGCGGTACGTTAACGAACCGCGCGCGTATAATTGAGCATTTTGGCGAGAATGATTGCGAGGCCGTGATAAAACCTTTGCGCGCCTGTTCGATTGATTTCGGCCGCTAAGGAAAAAGGAACAAATCGCGCGCACTTGCCAGCCTTCTATTTTTTTAACGAACGGAAAGGACTACTTCACGCGATCGATTAGAGCACTGTTATCCAAACGTCGCAGTTCACAGCCACGGAAGATTTTTTTGAGGACACCCTTTGAGTGGAATTCAATTATTAGCGTTTTCAATTGCGAGTTGTATCTAATTCGAGTAATATATTTGCAGGCAGTCTCAGAAGTATTCGCACCCTTTATATTTATTAAAGATATTTTTTTCTTGAATTGAATGGGAGTTTTGATGTTTCCAACACAAATTTTGAATAATATATACATATATGTATATACATATGATATATGTATTTTTTAAACATTGTTGAAAGCATTAAAGCTATCATTCAATTAAAAAAAAATATATATATAATATTTAATATTTATAAATATATATTCATGTATATATATGTTTATAATGGAATCAATTAGCATCATATCTTCCGAATACCTTTGAATTTTTGATATGTTTATTAAGTTATCAACAGTTGGTCTGGGGTAGGTCACACTCCTTTAAATTTTTAATTTTTCTAGATCCCCCTACAGAGTGTCCTACAAGTCACAACCAAAAATCAACTGCTTTGAATAGATTCTTGAATAGAGTCCTTAATTCTTTGAACTTTCAAATCTTCGAATCTCCTAATTTTGTATCATTTACCACACCCCTTTAAATTTTTAATTTTTCTAGATTCCCTTACAGAGTGTCCTACAAGTCCTACAAGTACAATTCTTTGAATTCTCAAATCTTCGAATCTTCTAATTTTTTATCACCTTGCACACCCCTTTAAATTTTGAATCTTCTGAAAATTTTTTGAAGTGCCCACTCGTTGTGGAATTTTATCATTTTTCCAATTGCAAGTACTGCATTTATATTCTGATAACTTTCGTTCTATTTATAAGAGTTTCATAGCTTCCAGCTTGAACTATTTGTATACATACAGATCCACTCGTGTGCTTCGAAGCAAAAATTATTCCGTCGAGTAGATTACGCATATAATTACATCAGTCCCGACGCAGATCGAAGATTTTAAAAGTTGAACGTGCTCGGAGGCTCCGGTCGAGTGTCATCGAAAGTTTGGGGATGTTTATCGAAGCCCCTTGAGGTAGTTCCGAGTCCAGCGGTTGTGTTCGCGGAGTCCTTAAACGGGTAGAAAGTCGAAACTTTTGGCGGGGAGCGAGGGGAGCTGACCTTCGTGAAACAACCGAACGCAATATCAAGCGAACTTTCTGTGCTGTACTTCACATGGTGTCCCATAGGACAACCGGTGCGATATTGTATCACTTGCCGTCTTTGTTTCCTTTCTACGCTTTCGCAGAACGTTCGACTTCGACTAGCCCCAAGTTCAACAACAGTTTAAAAGTAGATTACACGAAGGCTTATCGGGAAAACTGCGTTGCTGTCGTAGAACAATGAGGCTATTATAACACTTTCGGGGTGGTATCGTAGAGAAATTAATTAAGAGTGTGGCTAACGAATGTGTGATTCAAAAAGAGCAGCATAGAAATATAAATATTAATTAATAGTAGTCTAGTAGATTTTTAAAAAATGAATCCATCCAATATGTTCAATATGTTGACTTTCACGTGACATTTAGGTCGTTTGAATATTGCCAGTTTTGTTTCTTTTTAATTATTAACAACTAAGCTACAATGTCTAGATATTATTTAAGAAATAATAAACAGAATACTTTTAAGGAAACTTTTATAATATCAATTACAAAATTGTTGAAACTGGTTGCCTCCCTGTCGTATGCATAGCTGTAACGATACGCGCGTGTCTGACTATTGTCTCATTCTACCTCAGCCCACTGCACGGAGCGCAACGCATAGGATTTTTGTTTCTTTTTAATTATTTCGTGAAATAAATCGTGAAAACTTATACGAGCCTCTCACTTTGTTTCTAAACAATCGAAACTTATTTTTGTTGTACTTAAACTAGTACTTATTTTTGCAATTTCGTTAAATTCACGAATCCGATGCAGATTTATTTTCTTTAACGTTTCATCTTCAGAATCGATTTATTTCATTCCTTAGTGAAAATGGGAGAATTACAAAGAGGATATTCTTTTTAAAAATGATTTCAAACGTATTCGAAACATCTGGTATCGAATATGAGAATGTATGAAAATCTAATGCTTGACAAATTATAATAATCCTCTCTAAACTTAAACTAAACCCCATAACAATGTTATATTCGTCATTGTTAATTAAAATATGAAATTTCCAAAATTTGGGGGTAACATAATGATACAGATGCGGATTGGCCAACGCGTTTAGGATCTCCGTAGGATCATATTCGGTAAGAGAAAATATTTCGAGCCCAATGTTGAACGTCAGTTTGTTTCCATTCGAGAGATCGAGTGTTCACATGTTTGCTCGAAGAGACACGAGATAGAGCAATGTGGGGAGAAGCAAACAGCGCGATGCCTCTGGCGATCGGCTAGGTACTGTCTCTTTTCTTGGAAACAAATAGGAACCGCCAAATTAGTTCTCAGATCTGATCGAACTTGAAGGGAACGCTCAAAGGGGATAATTAATGAGATACAACACTGAAATTGGTTACTTAGCTGTCTGGTACATTGACACTGCTGATACATGATCTTAAAAAAATAGTACATTATGAAATTGTATATAATTAGCAAGAGAATTTTAAAAGGGACATAGATGGCACTGTATTGCTTCCCTTTTTGTATAAACCTGAGTTAGGGATACATGAAATAAACTCACCCCTATTACTGTTTTCCTAGAAGTTAAAAAGACTAGGTTGGTGCAAAAGGAATCGTGGTTTTCACATTGTCAAACTTTGCCGTTTGAAATTTTAATACATTTTAAAATAAATATTGGCATTGTATACATAATTGTGAAGCTTAGAATCTGCAAAAACAACGATGATGCGAAAAACGGCATCATTGGAAAATATACGTTGATTCTAATGGTTCTTATTTTGATTAATAAAGTTTATTATAAAAAGAGTTATGGTCATTTAAAACTAAAGATTAAAAACCCCAATTTCTTTTGCACCAATCTCCGGAAAAACTGTCAGTTCGTGTATACAAAAGTTCCTTAATTGTATTTCTATCTAAAATTTGAGTTAAGAATAATTTAGGAGAGGAATTTAAGAGTCGTACAGAATATATTATTGTTTCTAAGTAGCTTTTTGGAATATTAAATTTCAATAAATCGAGTACCTTAGGACATTTAATTATATTTTTACCTACACTCTAAGTTAAGAATAATTTATAAAAGGACGTACATCGACAATAATAAACAAATATTAGAAGCGTAAGCGAGCTGTAGTGCATCCCATAAGCACTTCTGAGTAAAGTACTTCCAAAACTTGGCCTCGGATGCTCACCTATGGCCTTGATCGCGTGTCGAGGGGTGTAATCCCCAAAGCCGTGCGGCTCCGAGACAGGAATTCGCGCGTTCTCGAGACTCTGTGCGCATCTTTTCGTTGGGATTACCGGTCAGGAGATGGAAAACCCCGAAAAATGGGCCTGCTCGATCCAAGCGATGAGGAAAATTCATTCGGATTCTGGCCCGAGCCGGGCACGTACACACCCTCGACAGATTGACCGCTCGTTAGTGTTTTATCCGGCATCCAAGGACAGCCATTCGTAACATCGCACGCGGTAATAAAGCTTCCATTTTCCTCGATCGGTCGAGTTTATGTCGGCGATTCCTCGGCCGAACGAAGCTCGTTAACCGAAATCCCGCGTCCCACCGCCGATAATACAATTTTAAGCTTAATGAAACACCGTCGAAAAATTGCAGACTCGTTTCCTTGCGTTTCGGCGTATCGCCGCGATATTGTATAAACATAAATAATTCGCGTGCAATTTTTCTATCGTGCTGCCGACGATATCGCAAATTAACCGACGCATGATTGTGGGTGTACGTTCGGGGAGGGGGTTCAATCATTCCGCGTTCGCGATATATTGGCGTACGAGCTACCGATTACTTTTTATTGTGCGTACCATTGCGAAGGTTTACAAAGGCTCGCTGGGTTCCCAATGGTCTTGAAACTGGTCCGATAAATACGATACGTGGAGATTGAAACTGGTAGGATAGAATCACTATGGATGATAAGTCTTAAACCATTCAATGAAATATCGAGCAGTTCAAATTGATTGCAATTATTTTAGGGAGAAGTTTATAGGATTTTAAAAAAACTTTCTTTTTAAAATAACGAATTTAATGTTATTTTTTATTATTAGAATAATAATCTAGGTTACACGTCTTTATTATTAGGTTGTCCAGAAAGTTCGTGCCAATTTCTAAGAAAAATTTAAAGGCATATAATAAATATACATGAATTTATTGAATTACGTAGATGCCATTTTGTTTTACAACTTTTCCACCTTTTAAGGGATGTATGCATGTTATTTGTTTTCAAACATTTCGACATATTCAAACCTGTACCACCTACCAAAAATCGACATGGACTTTCCGGACAACCCAATATATCTTAGCGTACCAAAGCAAAACGCTGTAAATTTCTCTAGCAGTGAATGAGTTAAACTTTGTTTTTCATGAGCCACCATAAACAGTATGGTGGAGTGGACCTCTTTCTTGGACCAACCCCCACGGAATATTGATTAAAAAAAATTCTTTAAATCGAAGAACTTCAATAAATATTAATTTATCACTGGTGTGATTTGTTCTAAATATATTTAGAAAATATTCCAAAGTAGCTATGAAATAATTATTATAATAGTATGTAATATGATTTGCACGCCTGGTTAACAATTCGAACGTTGGTTTGTTACAGGATAGCGACAGGAGTAGCGTTGGCAGCCCTGAGCCAGCCACAGCAGGCACGCTCCATGAACATCAGATGATGCTGGACGACATGAAGAACTCGCGGAAGAAGGGACACAGTCCCTCGCCTGAAAACCTTCACCAAGCGAAGGGTGCATCAGTCCAGGAACATCTGAATGGGACAAGTGAGTGAGATCACCTGTAGAAACTAGAACTCAGAATTATAATAAAAGAGTATAATAAAAATAAACAAAAAAGAATAAAATATTAAATAAAAATAAAATATAATAA